AAAAACCCATATATTATTTTAATAAAATATATGTAGCGAATATTCTTGGTACCATAGTTTATTTCTCAATATGATTCGCCTATATTTCCTGTAAAAAAAAATCAAATTCAAATAGTTAAAACTTGCCCATAACATATCTACAATATCATAATCTTTAAATACGTAAATTTGTCTGAAACATATAAAATGCATTTTCTGAAATGCTCTTGTTAGGAATGTCTTTTCAAATGTCACTCCAAGAACGCCCTTTTGAAAGTCTTCTTTCTTGATCTCTGAAAACTCTTCTGAAACATTTTCTCAATCATGTTTAAAATGCTTTTTTAAAACATGTTTCTAAAGTAATTGTCGTGGTAGTTAGTTGAATTCATTATAAATAAGACACCTTTGGACTTCTGTCTGAAATCGTACTAATCTGAAATTATTAATTACAAATACTTACTATCAAAACTCTTTTAATAAACCTATTTCCATAATCAATTCCTATCAGCTATGGATAGTTATTATTCAGGACTTGAAGATCCGAATGTAACTTTGATTTCTGATCAAAATATGGACGATTATTCTGGACCTATATATCTTGAAGAAGCTATGATTATAGATCAAAATACGGATGATTATAGTTCTAGGCTTGAAGACCCGGAAGAAAATTGGATTACAGATCGAGATGATCAAGAATTTACTTATGATTATTTGGCCGCGACAAAAGTGAGAAGTTTGTTAGAAGATTAGATAATAGAAAATGAAGAAGGTGATGTTGAAAATATGTTACCTAAGGATGAAAAAGATGAGAAACATGAAATTCCAGAAGTTGAAACGAAGAAACGGTCACCCTGTGTCATTTTCGATAATTTAAATGAAGAGGTTAAATATTGCAATTCAACAACTAAGTTAGTATCATTATCTCAGTTAATTGGGACTTGGGAGATAGAAATAACCCCAGAAAAAAAAATTTAGACATAACCGAGTTAGGAGTTTGTTCGAGTCATTTCAATTTCAATCATAGCAAACTTCACTCGTCCAGTACTAAACAAAGAAGAAAAGCGAGTAAAAGTATAATTCACACAAAAAAATGTTTACTCTGCAACAAATATAAAAGGTTCTTTAGCAGAGGTAATGATTGTGTAGAACATTGCTGGAATGTATGTAGGAAAGACATTCAAGTACCATGCCTTGGTTTTAAATCATGTTCAGCTTTCCAAATAATTCCAAATATTACTTCGAGGGTTACTAATGATAATTACGTAAAATATATCTGCACAAGTTGTTTTGAAGGCAATAGTGAACATCTTCATATATGTCAAAAATCAGGAAATACACCTATAACGTGTGTTGATAATGAATTACATAGCAATAATACTAACCATGTTTTGAGACTTTTCTCAAATTGGCTATCAAATCTCTTATATTCTCAAGATGAGAGCAAAAAGGAAAAGGTGCTATGGCATATGATGAAATTATTGGAGTCTCCAAAATCAAGTTCATCATCCTCTACTGACGCGGAGCGTAATTTACCTAGTTTATTGCTTGTAAAAATAGCTATGAAAATTAATAAACTCGAAAATTATTCATTTACAGATAAAAAGCATGTAAAAGCAGAAAAATGCAGGCAATTCGGAGAAATGCTAGGGGAATTGATATGTAACTCATACGATGAGATTGAAAAAAACCGTAATAAACTAGAAAATCTATCATCATTAGATGAATATTACTCTAGTTTTCCCTTAGCTCTTACTAGTTTTTTTTATGAATTGATCGAATCTATTGAAAAATGAAAATATGCAGTAAGAGAAAAGAAAAAAAGACAACATGGAAAAGCATCATCAGAATTTGATACAAGTTCTATAAAAAAAATTACATCATTTCTTGCATCTATTATTCTGACAATAGCATTCCGTTCATGGAAGATATGGCTTACCTATACTATGGCTTCCTTGTGCAAAAAACCCAAGTTAATATCTTCTTTGCAAGCAATTCTACATGCAGTACACATTACATCTCATATATGGAAACATGAGACGAAATTGGAAAAGGAGCATGTTAAAAAATCAAACCCACTAACAAGATTGATAAAAGGCCCCAATATATGGAATGTTGTGGTTATTGATAATATCGATTTTAAAAATATTGTCTTTAAGTATGGAAATATATATTATGTTATACAGCAATCCACACATGCCACTTTAAGAATAGTATTCTAGTTCAAGCTTCTGTTTAACATTTCGTCCCTTGTTCAAGAAAATCTAGAACCTCAAGAAAATCTATTTGGTCAATCAGAATTTACATCCAAATGGGATGAAAATTTTGATCAAATCATAGAACAGTTAGTAAATAAACATGAAAGAAACTTTGGCATTAAAGAAATTAATGAAGAAATATCTTCTAAAATAGAATCGGGATGTCGAATAAATCTACCTATTGTTGTTATATTGGAACCTGGACCAGCGTCTGATAGCAACGCTGCTGTATTTGAGTCAATCGATATGTATCTAAAAGATCTTGAACAAGATGTTATCAATTTAGCATGTGATGCAACTATTTTTGCAAGAACTAAATCGTATAAAAATAAAGACTTAGCTTGCAGATTTATTCTTGGACAATGGCATACATCAAAGGCCATGTGCAGTGCTTTAATTACAGCATTCAGTGGATATGGTCTTTATAGTATGGTGGCAAAGCTTGGTGTGCGATTTCTTGACAAGCTAGAACAAAACGTAGATTATCGTGCGACTTGTAAAGTGCTAGAATTAATACATTCTGCCGTAGGAATAGCGATTCATCTTCATTTAAATGATAAAAATATTCCATTAGACACAGAAACCATATTTAGAGGAAATAATAATATCCTAAAAGTGTGGTTTTTATATTACCGTTTAGCTGGATATTGGCAAGGTCATCGTGTAGGAATTCGTTTAGGTAATGCAGATATGCAGTTAAAAAATTTAGCTGCATTTGCACCACTGTTTCCTGCAACTGGCAAAAATATTTATACATCGTCAGTTGTAACCTTTTTGGAGTCAGTGTCATGCTACCCACAGCAACGTGAACTATTCAAGCACGTCGCATCAGTAAATATTACCAGAGAAAATCATTACCTAGCTCTTGATGAAGCTCTGGAACAATATGGTGTGAAATTTGTTAAACAAAATTTAACATCTGGCTTATCAGATCCGGTAATTCTAAAGCAAAGAATGATGGCGATTCAAGATAAACGTGATAGATTGTTGCTTTTATATAACAAATTCGTAGGAGACAATGTAGTTAGTACAGGAGATCGAAATACTAAACAATACACCGAAGCTTTCTGGGAACTTGTTGATGAACTTACCAGTGCATTTAATCACCCTGATTTTACACAACATAATCTTTTCCGACACGCACAAGAAATGAAACCAGATGATTATACACGAATATTTAATTTTTATAAAAAGGGTCTTGTTCGGCTATATAATATTCTGCATAAGGATATCTATAAAACTAAAAAGATGGTTACTAAGGGAAGATGGGTTAAGGAATTAGTTAGTGTCTCGGCTAAAGAATATTTACTATCTTTGAAAAATGATTAAAGAATGTATAATTAATAAATTTTAAAATAAAATATATAAAAAGTTAAAATAAATTACCTAACTAGTACAGTCCGACCTCTCTATAGTCACCTCCTATATAAGCACATTTTCTTTATAAGCATATTTTTTTAAAAACAAACTA